GCCTATTTTCTTATTTGTATTAAAAAAAAAGGAAAAATTACTGAAATACACGACTTATGTTTTCCTTATTTTTAATATTTTCTTCTATTTCTAAAAACCTCTAAAATCTCTTATTTCTCTCCTAATTCTAAATTATTTTATAATGTATCCGAGCTAATTTTTAATGTATCCGAGCTACACATTATGTATCCGGTTTATTTTATAATGTATCCGAGCTACATATTATGTATCCGGTTTGTTTTACTTTTTCAGGGATTAATGTAATTACAAACTAAATAGGGATAGAGTGTAATTTCATATTAAAACTATGTGATTCCTAAAATTTATACAAAAAAGAAAATGAGCAACTTTCATTTATAGCAAACATAAAAATCATATTTGTATCTTATAGCTATAATTTGCATAATTGCGCTCCATAGCAAAATTTATGTCTGCTATGAAGCTTTTGATTTGTCTAATTCGCTAGATACATCCAATTTTATACAAATTGTTCAGTTTTGTATAAATTTATTTATACATTGTAATTTGTATAATAAGATTTGTATTTGTATAATTATAAGTGTATAAGACGAAAATATATGTATTTGTATATATGATTTTCTCTCACTTTATATAGACACAAACATATTTTATACATTTGTATACCAAATGGGTAATTGTATACCAAAAATGGCTAATTGTATACCGAATCAGATGACAAAAAAATGGGATGTTTGCTACGAATTACAAATGAAATAAACTATGGCTATTAATTTGAATTGATAGTTTGTTATTTCATACAATTTTCTCAAAAAAAATTATATATTGCATGTTCAAGTCGTTTAGTTCATTTTCTTTTAGTAGCGTAGGTGGTGGTGTGGAAATGGGAAGGAGAGAAAAAAAATGGAAAAATGTGAGTCTTTACAGGACAATTGTCATTACTTAGGAGCCGAATGAGATTGATGTTGCTCTTTTGTTCTAGGGTGAGCCCGACAACCTCATGGCGAACAAAGTATCCTTTTTAACATCCTTTTTGAATGGAATGGAGAATGAATGAAATAGAATAGTTTGACAGAATTGTATGATAGGAAAAATGGGGAGCCTTGCACTTTCATTCACAATCTGAAGCCAAGTCATTGACGAGCCTCAAAGGATCTTTCAAACCTCCCAATGATCAGTATAGATCGAAGATTCTGATGGAGGTGATGATGACAATGATGGTGGAAAGCAGGGACAAATTTCTAGCTAGAATACAAGACAATGAACTTATGATTTTTTGATAAAATTAAGTATTTTACGTATATAAGTTTCTAAAATTGGTATAATATTATATGCTAACACTCATACTACAAAAAAAAGCTAATTAAATAGTGCACTTGATTGGATGTTGAGTCATTTACCTAAACAACTAGAGATTAATTCCCACTTAATATGTTTTTTCTACTAAAAATTAGGAAGATTGGTCAAATTTGTTCTTGAACTATGTGAAAGAGTTAAATTTATCTTTGAATTATGTGGAAGGTTCAAATTCACCCTCCAATTATTAAAACCTTTAAAAAACAAGGGTAAATCTGATCCAAACTAATAACGACGAGAATATATTTGACCCTATAAATCTATTTTATTTTACATAGTTCTCAAGGTAATTTGATCTAAGGCTGTTCAAAATCATATTCGAACTAATAATTCAAACTGAAAAAAAAATATTTGATTTATCGATAATGGGTCATTGATTTAGTGATTTTGGTTATTTTTTTTATTTCAGGTTATCAGTTCTTAACGATTTGGTCTATTTCTTAATAAGTTAACCAAAATCCCAATAGAAAATTAGCAAATTATACTTATATCTTTCAACATATAAAGTTCTTTTCTAACGGTTTAGTTTCATACTTTCATTTTTTTATTGTCTCAAACTTTCGATTACTCTACAAGTACAAGATATCAATGTTAGCTTTTGAGGAAGATATTATCAACTCATGTTCATGGTTTATTTGATTTGACAACTTATTTCTAATACTCCCTCTGTTTCAAAAATAATGGTTTGCTTCTTTTTTTAGTCTGTTTAAAAAAGAATGATCTCTTTCCTTTTTTGGGAACATTTAATTTCAGTTTTCCACGTGACATGTTTAAGACCAAAAGATTAAAGGACAATTTTGTACATTTGACAAAACTTTAATTTATGACCACAAGATTCAAAAGTCTTTCTTTATTTTCTTAAAGTTTGTGTCAAGTCAAACTAGGCCACTTTTTTTTAAATGTAGGGAGTAAGTGATTTACAATTTAGAAAAAAAATTAAGTGAAATTTTAACGATTAAACTGATAAGGATCATAATCGACAACTTATAAACTGATATTTTAATAGTTTTATAACGATTCAATTAGCATATCTACAAATTGATAACTAATAATCAAATAAATAAATTTAAAATTAAATCGAACTGAACCAACCGACGCAAACTCGAAGACTACATCCACTCGTGCGGTTCCAGCAAAATAGAGGTGTCAGCCGAAAGTGTTAGAAAAGCTGGCAAAAGTACTTTACTAACTACTGATTAAAGGTAATCAAGGCTTTAAAAATGGCATGAAGGCCGCAAATTATCTTTACAATAATAATTATAACAAGTTATATACCCCACATGTCAAATACTCATTCTTTTGTGTTTGACAATACAATAATACAACTTTTTTTTAAATCAAATTTGAGTGGTAGGAATGATTCATTACATGTGGATTTGAGGAAATAAAGTTGATGTGGACTAATAAAATACTTGTTTGTTTTATATATATAATCTTGATGTTCATGTCAGTTATGTATAATTCGACTATTTCATCGCTTCACGAGATATTTATCACTTTTCTGATCAATATTATGTCAGTACTTGATTAATTTCATGAGACATGTATCACTTTTCACCAGTAACATGTATAGATAACTATGTTTACCAAGATAAGCAGTTAAGAAAAAAACATTTAATATTTTTCTTTATCTCTACTTAAATCTGAACTTGAAACCTCACAATTCTCAACTTACTGTATTGATCACTAGATTACACTCTTAAATGTTGCCGAGTTAGTTAAATGTTATTAAAAAAATAGTAACACAAATAATTTTTACTAAATTCAGATCACTCTTTTTAGTAGGGAAAAATAGTGCGGAAGTTATTTTTGAGTAATGAAATTCTTAAAACCAGCAAATACACCTAAGTTGGTAATGGTAAAAGCATCAAAATAGGTTTAGGTTAAAGCTTCATTGCGAGTCATCTTTTTGTTACGTTAAATATTTTTATATTTAATAAATCATCTCGTATTTACTTTTACCATTGACACCTAAAATTTTACTATGATTTAGGTTGAAGCTTCGTTATGAGTCAAGGATAAATACGAGACATAATAATATATATTTTTTTAACGAAGGACAAATCTATTTATTTAAAAAAAAGTCAGAAAATCGAAAAAATGGAACTTATTCCCTAAGCCAATTATTAGTACCACCTAAATAGTTGTGCCACACGTGAACAGTGAAAAAATAGTCTGTCTTGTTTTTCAGCCTAGGATTCCCTTTTTTTCATGTGACAGGATACACAAAAGTCACATGCCTTTTATATAATTACGACAACAACAATGATATATCTCGTGAAGCCTGAAAAGGGTAGAATGTATATGAATTATATCTTTACTTTGTTTGAGGTAGAAAAGCCTGTTTACAATATATACCTTTGGATCACTTTTAATATAATGGTATATCTTGTGAAGTTTGAATTGAACGCATATGAATCTTATCTTTACTTTGTTCGATAGAGATCTTAGCATACTTTTGATATAATTAGACGTGAAAATAAGGGTGTGTTTGCTATGAAAAAAGATATTTTTTACGAATAGAATATAGTTTTATTGAAAAGTAAATGATTTTCTCAAGAAAACATGATGAAAGTGGAAGGTGAAACTGATTTCAAAATTTCCTATATTCGATCTACCACGTGTAAACACTCTTTTACTGAAACTTCAGCCTTAGCCGGTCGTGACCAGAAACCACTAGTTTCGCTTGGTAGGCCGGGAATGCCCTAACTTATATTCCATACATCATACTACATAAATATCATATTCATGGAATACGATTCACCACAAAAATAAATGGTAGACACAACTTGAATGCTACTACAAGTACATGCGAAGAAAAGATCAAAAGAGTTGTATTTGCTAGAGAATTGAGAGTTCCGATCACAATGCACGACTGCTTAACAGGGGGACTCACCACAAAAAAATAAAAAAGGAAACAGTAAGTTACTTGCATTCCATTAAACATGAAACAGTAGCATTGATAAAATGAGAAAGGCTAAAGTTATCATATTTACAACAAGAGAAGTTCTAATGAAATGTACTCATCAACATGAACAAACAAGCCATAGCTAATCTTCAATGGAAGGGTTTAAAGAACAATGGCTTGATGTAAAGATTCTTGTGACCATGGTTCGCGTTGCTATCGTACTTGGTCCGTTCGTTCCCCTCCTTTTCAGCAATTGTTGTATGTGAGTCGCGGTCGCCTAGTGTACCCTTAGATTGAGACTTCCATTGGGCAGTAGGCGCGAACCACATGAGGGGAATGTCATGATAAGGAGAGAGCTTCGCCTATCAATGATCAAGTCCAATGACAATTCTCCACTCGTGTCCTTCTAGAGTTGGTTAAGTCATTGTCAAAGGAACCTTCCGATCCGTTCTTCCCGCTAAGATATCAGATCAACCCCTTCACTTGACTAAGATATCCATTTTGAGTTCCTACTAGAGTCTCTACTCATGTACTTCCAGAGGTGGTAAATGATCTTCAAGGGCAAGCCCTTCGTTCGTCTATGATGGTAAATGATCTTCAAGGGCAAGCCCTTCGTTCGTCTATGATATCCTTTCTAAGTTTCTACTATAAAACAAATTCCAGAGCTGGTAAATGATCTTCAAGGGCAAACCCTTTGTTCGTCTACGTTATCCTTTCTGAGTTTCTACTATAAAACAATTTCCAAAGGTGATAAATGTTCTTCAAGGGCATTCGATCAAGCCCTTCGTTCGTCTACGATATCCTTTCTGAGTTTCTCCTATAACAATACCTATACATAATCTGTTTTGAGTTTTATATATACCTCAATTTCCTTGGCCTAACTGTCGGTAAACAAGGCTACAGAGATGTCAGCCAGCTTCTTGCTGTTAAACCGAGACCTTGCAATTTTCGACTGCATTGGAGCATTTGGCGCTTTTTCTTCCTCATCGAAATCACCTAACTCTTCCACATCAAGAGCATCTCGAAAAGGAAGTGTCTTTCTTGGAGTGCTAAAGTCGAAATGCCACCCTTTTGCAATCAAGGACTGATCATACATAAGGAAAAACAATAGTTCATCAATGCTTCATTCAACTAATTAACACTTCATTAATTACGAAATATATAACAATACTTCAATGATAATTAAAGCTTACCGCTTCCCTAAGTGTCCTTGATACATGAAACAAACTCTTCAAATCATCGTGATCAGCTCGACATACTATTTTTATCTGCATAATAATGTGTAAAAGCAAACACATATTGTTACAATCTTGAACTATAAAAGCGATATAACATTTGAGACAGCATGAATATGAACATGAACAATTGGCACAAATAACACAAAGCACATAAGAAAGATGACAAGTGAGGCTTGTTCATGTGGCTGAGAACCTCCACCATCAACCGGTAGGGCAAGGGGGAACACTATTGATCCTCGCAGGAACAGAAATATAAGAAACACAAAAAGGAAACAAATTATGAACTAACCAAGAGATCCTTAGGCAACGTCTCAAGGTCAGATTTGTCGTTTGTAGACAACGAGTTCTGGCTGCAGATTCTCTTCGTTGGTGTCGTTGAAACGAAATTGACGTCACCAGTGTTTGATAAAGTGACTCTTTTTCGCCCAAATGAGGTACTCCTCACAATGCCTAACCCCAAATTATCACAATCATTCCCCAATGCCATTTTCTTCTTCACCTTCACAAAAAAAACAACTGCAAGATCCACACGAATAATCAATCAGTATTATCCCAATAATCAACACCCAAACTCAGCAAAAAGAATAAAGTATCCAATAACCAAAAAAACAATATCCAATCAAGCTCTAAGTATAATCTAACAATAAAAAGTGAAATCTTTGTAAATGGACCAAACTATAAAGACCCAAAAACCCAAAACCAAAAGTTTAAAATGGAAATAACCAACCCCCAAACTCAGCAACAATGAAGAATGTATCCAACAATCAAGAAACAGAAATCCAATCAAACTCTAAGCACAATCTAACACTAAAATGAAATCTTTGTAAGTGAACCAAACTATAAAGACCCCCAAAACTCAAAACAAAATCTTTGTAAATAGACATAACCAACCCCCAAACTCAGCAAAAAAGTATCCAATAACCAAGAACCATAATACAATCAAACTCTTAACACTAAAAATGAAATCTTTGGAAATGGACATAACCAACCCCCACACTCAGCAAAAATGAACAAAAAAGTATCCACTAACCAAGAACCAAAATCCAATCAAACTCTAACATTAAAAATGAAATCTTTTGGATATAGACATAACCTGCCCTCAAAATCAGCAAAAATGAACAAAAAAGTACCCAAAAACCAAGAACCAGAATCCAATCAAACTCTAACACTAAAGATGAAATCTTTGGAAAATGGACATAACCACCATCCCCCAAACTCAGCAAAATGAACAAAGTATCCAAAATCAAGAAACCAAAATCCAATCAAACCTCTTAAGCACAATCCAACACTAAAATGAAATCTTTGGAAAATGGACATAAACCATCCCCCAAACTCAGAAAAAATAAACAAAGCATCCAACAATCAAGAAACCAAAATCCAATCAAACTCTTAAAAGCACAATCTAACATCATAAAAATCAAATCTTTGTAAAATAAAGCCAAAACTAAAATCACCCAAATCACCAAAAACACCAAATCATAATCAATTTATCAATCAATACCTAAAAGATACTCTGTCTCAACATCAAAGTTGTGTTTTTTAACCACAGAATATATATAGGAATCAAACCTTATAAAAGAACCCTAAATTGAAGGCAAAATTAAATTGATAAAATTAAAGTAACAGTTGTTTCTGAAGAAGGAAACAAGAATCACCTTCCTCAAACAGCAAAATTCCTCCACTTGTTGGACAGTTCACTCAAATGGGACTTTCTTTTTTCCTTATATACACACAGATTCTTGAAAAAATTAAAACTTTTTTTCTTTTTTCTTTTTTCCCTCCTTTTGTTTTTCTTTGCCTCTAAGAAATTATAATTATTTGGAGTATTTTCTTTAAAATGGTAAAGTTCCCTACTTATATAAGTAATTAAAAAAAAGATTCTTCTTGATCTAGAAAAGGGAATCGAATTTTCTTGTGATTTTTTTTTTGGGTGGGGGAGGGGGTGGGGGGTTTGTGATGAAATTAAATACTACTTTGTCTCAATTTATGTGACATTTATTATTCGTAAAAGTCGAACAATTTAATTTTGACTATATATTTGGATATAAATTCTTTTTAATTTTTTTTAATAAATATAATTCATATATTAAAAAATTAGGAGTCAAATTTTCTAGTGATTTTCTTTTGGGTGGGTGTTGTAGGCGGGGGGAGGGGGTTATGTGATTAATATTAACCGTCTCAATTTATGTGGTATTTATTATCCCTGAGCGTCTATTAATTTAATTTTGACTATATATTTGGACATAAATTCTTTAAAAAATTTAAGATGGAATTTATATATTCAAAAATCAGGAATTGAATTTTCTCATGATTTTTTTTTTGTTGGTATGTGGTTGTGTGGTGGGTATGTGATTAACACTACCTCGTCTCAATTTATGTGACATTTATTAGTCTTGAAAGTCTAACAATTTAATTTTAACTCTATATTTAGACATAAATTCTTAAAATTTCTTAAAATATAATTTATATATTTAAAAATTAGAAGTCAAATTTTCTTGTGATTTTTTTGGATGGGGGGTATTACTCCTGGGAGTTCAACAATTTAACTTTGACTAAATATTAATAACATAATTTTTTTAAATTTTTTTAAATAAAATTTATATATTCAAAAATTAGGAGTTAATTTTCTAGTGATTTTTTTTGGGTGGGGTGTGTGTGTTGTGGGGGGGGGGAGGGGGGATTTTTATCTGATTAATACTACGCGTCTCAATTTATGTGATATTTATTACTCCTGTGAGTCTAACAATTTAAATTTGACTATATATTTGGACTTAAAATCTTTAATTTTTTAAAATGAAATTAATATATTAAAAAATTATGTAAAAAGTAATATAACTCATAATAATTGTCAATTTAAAATATTTTAATTTATTTAAATATTTGCAATCAATAATAAATTTATTTAAATCTCATAATACAAAAAGTACCACGTAAATTAAAACAAATAAAAATAACTTTTAAGTGATGCGGCGAGTTGTTCTGTCCACGTTGGTGTGTCGGTAGCTTCTATCATGTTCTACACCTTTAAAAGGTTGTAAAAATCCCCTTTATGTAAAGTTCAATAATTGTTCAAAAATGATTTTACGAGAATATATGAGAAACAATATCTTTAATTTCGACTTTCGAATAAGGACTAAAATCTCTTTTAGCAACATTTTATTCTATGCAATTACATTGAGTGCATTATGTTGTTTGTTATAATAATTGTGTAAAATATTTCTTAATTTTAAAAATCTATCGAAAATAGTTTCTTTAGCTTTGAAGTAAGATCAAAATTTGTCCAATCAAAATCTCATTTTGTAAGATTATATTGAATATATTGTCATCGTAATAATTGTGCAAAATTCTTGGACATAATTATCATGTGGTGTTTAGCTTTTGGAAGTATGATTATTATTTTTCTTAATTCTTCTCGTTTGGATGATAGTTACGCATCATTTGATGCATTTAAATGGTTGTTATATACCCTTTATCATAATATATATTCGGATGGTTATCATGTTCCGTTTCATAATGTATTTGAATAGTTATTACGTATCATTTTATAATATATTTGAATGGTTGTCATGTATTGTTTTATACCGCTTTATAATATATATATTTAGATGGTTGTTATGTATCGATTCATAATATAATTGGATAGTTATTACGTATAATTTTATAATATATCGTATTAGATTATATTGTATTACTATATCATTTTTCATTATTGCATAACATCACATTTCAACAATAAAAAAATTAAAGATATAGGGCAAAATTATCATAAAAAGGTAAGATAAGATTAATTATTAGATAATAAACAAACAATAAAATAAAAAGAAAGAAAAAAGATAATGACACGATTACAATTATTACATATATCAAATAATATTCGTTTTTATCAAGATCTCACTTTGTAGTACATTCAATGTTGTTGCAATAATTGTGCAAAACCCTTGGATATAATTACCATGTAATGTTCAGCTCTTGAAGGTATAAATTATTTTCTTAATTCATGTTGTTTAAAGAATTGTTACTTAATGTTTTATAATGTATCTGAATAATCGTTATATATCATTTCATAGTATACATTTGAATGCTTATCACATACCACTTCACAATTATGTATTTGGTTGGTTATTACATATCATTTCATAATATAGGTTATCTATTATTTTATAATATATTTGAATGATTATTATGTACGTACCATTTGGAAATATCTAAATATACATTCTTAAAACTAAAATATTTATAACTTATTACTCATTTGTTTATGTATTATGACTATTTTTTTTTTTTTCTAAAATGAAATTAAACAATGTGATTGAGTACAACATATTAATGATTGGTTCTATCTAGTGGGGTGGGTGAGGGGTGGACAAATAGTTGGTCAATTTGCAAATTGCAAAATGTGAAAAAGAATTGTAATTACTAATAAATGTGTAGCTAGTAATAGTTTTTTCTCATTGGTGGAAATTTAGGTCACCAATAGCCCATTTGCAGGTGGGGGTTGGGTGGGGTCAAATCTATTTGATTGAGATTTTTGGTGGGGGCAATAAAAAGTTCAGCCACAAGGTAATAACCACCCAAAGTTTATTACTTATTTTTGTGCAGTTTGCGTGTGTCTCAATTAATTTATAAGATATATATTATTTTTTATCAGTAATGTATATTAGATATCTTTGTTCTCAAAAGTAACATAAATAAGAGGAAATAACGTAAAAATTTAATGAATTTAAAATCTTATGATATTAAACGTATTTCATTGATCACTCAATCAGTATTAAATTTGATTGTCCATTCTTTTATTCATTTTATCATATTTATATTTCCTATTTTATCAAGAGTCTGGGTGGTAGGGTGACAAAGATTATACCAACCACAAAATGAGTGTTGGATGTATGAAATAAATAGTTACTATAATAAAATTTAGTTAAGATAAGATAAAGGTTGATTGCATGATTGCATCTATCAAAAGGTGTGCAAGTAATATAAATAGAGTCTAGGGTGTACTTGGTAGGCTGGAAAATATTTTTCTAAAAAATATATTCTTTAAAAAAATATAATAATAGTATTATTAATAATAAATAAATTTTTACTTACTTTTTAATATTTGATTAGTAAATAAAATAATTATTCAGATAATATTAACATATAATATCAAAACACTACGAGGGTGGAATTGGGCGATCAAAGTGGGAATTCAGAGGTGGAATGATCAATGAATAAGGATTGAATAGACAGAGAAGAGATAATGAACTTGAAGTGTTTGTTTTATCAATTTATGAAATTACCTTTTTTTTTTGTTTTCATTAAAAAAATATCATTTTAAAATATATTTTTTTTCTTGATAACACACCCTAGATTGGGATAAGTCACTTGACTAATTAAAGTTAAAATTACTTATTGTTATAACACCATAGTGAACGTTCCACCTCGTATTGTTAGGAGTCGATTTAGTATGTAATATTGAAAAAAAATGGATTTAAAAAGAACGGTATGAATAGTTTGAAAATTTATGCATCAACAATCTCAACTAGATTGAAAATAAATATAAATAATTAATTGTCAGATGATTCATATAGCATACTTCGACTATTTCAAAATTTAACATAATTGATTGATTGAATGGTTAAAAAGTTAGTTTAAAAGAAAACATCATTACAAAATCAAAATTTAAAGACTTTCAATAAATTTGAATTCCTCACAATTGTATTAAGAATTAAAGATATTGTCAAATATTTTTTAATGTTTCAAATATTAAAAAATCATAATACCTATATTGCTATGACATTTAAAATTATGAATTAGGTCATAATAAATGCAAAGTTTATAAGATATGGTCAAGAAAATTGATTTAGTTCAACTAAAACAAGATGTTATATCAATTGGAGTTAGTCCAACTACCTCATTTTTTAAAGTATACTTTTGCAATAATGCAAAACTCTTTATGGAGAAAAAGGAAAAATGCTCTAATGGGTTCTTGCCTTTATTGTTTAATCATTTAATATATGAGTTCTACATTAATTTTAAGTCAATTCTATAATGTTAATTAGTTTACAAGTAAATATTTAGAAAAATTCTTGTATGAATAATTACAAGGTTAGATAAGCAATATTATATTCATGTGAATATGTAGTCAAGCTTCTAGATCCGTCTCCATAATTCTCAAGACTCGAAGTAAACTATTAGTTCTAAATTACTTTTAAGTTAATTCTTTAATAATAATTAATTTATAATTTAATATTTAGTAAAATTCTTTATAAATACGTACAAGATTTAGATAAGCAATTATTAAATTCATGTGAATATAGTCAAGCTTCTAGATCTGTCTCCATCATTCTCAAGACTCGAATTAAACTATGAGTTCTAGATTAATTTTAAGTTAAATTCTATAATAATAATTAATTTACAATTTAATATTTAATAAATTTCTTAATATAAATACGTACAAGGTTTAGATAAGCAAGTATTAAATTCATATGAATATGTAGTCAAGCTTCTAGATTCATCTCCATCATTCTCAAGACTCAAATTAAACTATGAGTTCTAGATTAATTTTAAGTTAATTCTACAATAATAATAATAATTAATTTACAATTAATATTTAGTAAATTTCTTATATGAATACGTATAAGGTTTAGATAAGCAATATTAAATTCATGTGAATATGTAGTCAAGCTTCTAGATCCGTCTCCATTATTCTCAAGACTCGAATTAAACTATGAGTTTTACATTAATTTTAAGTTAATTCTATAATAATACTAATAATAATAATAATAAATTTACAATTAAATAATTAGTAAATTTTTTAATATGAGTACATACAAGGTTTAGATAAACAATA